CCAGGCTTGCCACGCCCGAGTCAGACTCCTCCAGAGACTCCACCTCCGCCTCCTAAGAGGCAGACTCCTCCTCTGAATCCATTTCCTTGCCAATAAATGCACGAGCCTTGCTTGATGAGGTCTTGTTGTGAGATGAAGACTTTGACAAAGACTTTGACAAAGACTTTGAAGAAGACTTTGAAGATTTCTTCTATTCTTGTCATCAGAATCATATTCCTTGCTCTTGTTCTTTTTCTTTGATTCCTTATCCCGCTGAGGACACTCGGAGATATAGTGGCCTGTCTTCTTGCATTTGTGGCAAGTCCTCTTCTTGTAGTCACGTGATGAAGCATCGTCGTTCTTTGAGCTAGATCTTGAAGACTTGTTGAACCGATTCTTCTTGGAGAACTTCTGAAACTTCCTCACGAGCATTGCGCGCTCTTTGCCAAGCTCTTCAAGACACCAGAGCTACAGTCAGATTCTTCTTCAGATGAGGAAACAACTTTAGCCTTCAAAGCACGGGTTCGACCATAGTTGGGTCCATAGATATCACGCATCTCAGATAGCTGGAACTCATGTGTGTTGAGCCTCTCAAGTATGTCAGACGGATCAAGATCTTTGAAGTCAGGACATTCTTGAATCATCAGGGCCAAGGTGGCAAACAAGCTGTCAAGTGATCTCAGAAGCTTCTTCATGATCTCATGCTTGGTGATCTTAGTGGCGCCGAGAGCACGTAGCTCATTGGTGATATCATTCAAGCGATCAAACATGATATGGACATTTTCATTGTCATTTCTCTTGAAGCGGTTGAAGAGATTGTGAAGAATATCGATTCTTGAGTCTTTCTGAGTTGAGACGCCTTCATTGACCTTGGACAGCCAGTCCCAAACCAGCTTTGCAGTTTCCACTACACTCACACGGCCATATTGCCCCTTGGTCAGATGACCATAGATGATGTTCTTGGCATTTGAGTCCAATTGAGCAAATCTCTTGACATCAGCAACGGTGACGCCTTCACCGACTTTGGGAACGTCAGTCTTGACGACATATACCAAAAATCAACATCAATGGTTTCAAGATGCATGTACATCTTGTTCTTCTAATAGGGATAGTTAGTGCCATCGAAGACAGGGCACGCAGCGGAGACTTTGATTATCCCTGCAGTCGACATAGCTAAAACTCCAGGTAGTTAAACCGAATCACACATAACAAGTGACAATTGAGTCTTTTTGTTGCCCAAATAGCTGGAAAATCTCCATTGACGTCCAAACACAAAAACCCACTAAACCCCCGCATAGGTCCGCTGTTATGAGCTAGTAATGTCTCTCTCTCTCTCTCTCGCAAAAGGAAATGTAGCCATTAGCTACCTTATCAGAGTTGATCATGAGCTGGTTTGAAAGAAATGAAGGAAAAGACCAAAAGTGGATCGTCAATGGCTGCTGCCTAGGGCTGTCGGCGCTGGCCGGCCTTTAGACTCGCACTCCCGGCCCGTTTACATTGACTAGCCAGGAACGTGAGGTCAAACAGAACATGGCTTATACGTACTAAAGATACAAAGCAGGCAGACGACTTATCAACAACCAACTGTCATCATGCGGGCGCGCCTACATGCATGCACGCGGCATGTCGACCGGCCTAAAGCTAACAAGTTTTTTGTTTATATTAGGGGTTGAGGGAGGCGTAAAGTTAATAAGTTTGTTCTCTGTTCGATTCTGTGTTCGCGCTGAGTGCTCGGTAGAAAAACATATCCTAGCCGAGGCAAAAGCGGTCGCCGCCGGTCCCGCCTCCGCCGGTTAATTAACGAGAGACGAGAACGCGCACGTGAATCGGGTTTCCAGTGCCCGGCCCGGCCCCGTTCCTCGCACCTGCGCAAAATCTTTGTGTTAGTAGTAGTATTCTCTCTCGTGTGGAAGGTCAGTGTGACCTGGGATTTGCACTTTGCGTCGTCGTCTTCGTGGGCAAGCACGTCGCCCATTCTCGTAGTTAAGCCGGAGAGTGGAGGCTGCCGAACTGTCGTGTCGCATCGAGATTCAAGGGTCAAAACTCCTCAAATCAAAAGAAGAAGAAGAAGAAGAAGAAAATCAAGGGTCAAAATTCGAAAAGCCTTCGGCCGGCCGGCGGAACGCCGGTAGGCGGCAGCTCGCGTCCTGTTCCGCATGGCATCGACCGCTCGGGATTTTGATCGGGTCAAATGGTGCTACGATGATCATTTGCGCCATATGGCACTTTGAACAGCCGCGTAGGATCGTCGCCGTCGGTAGAGTGACACGAGAATTTCGAGATGGTCCGCGATTTGGATGTGTCCCCGTGTTACTATACGTGTACCGTGCACGTCGGACAGAAGAAACACAAGTTCAAATTGCTAACGGTTGACGAAATGCTGCGGCCGGCTTGGGCATCACCCGAAAGGTCAGCCCCGGCAGAAGGCTGGCTATTCATTTCCTACTGGATCCAGCTAGAACTGTTCAACGTGTGTGGAGGCACGCACGTTGCGTACGGTCGGAGCTCGCCGCGAGTGTGAAAATTTCGTGTTTTGACCTTTTTCGATATAAATTCAAGATCTGATTTGAAAATTTTCGAGATCTGACCCTTTCGCTACCGCTAGGGGTCCTGGCGGTAGGGTTAGGCATGCTATCGCCAGGGACCCTGGCGGTAGGGTGCGACGAAGGGCGACGGTCGCCGTTTGCCCGAGCTGACGTGGACAAGTAGCCTACCGTCAGCTCGGGCAAATAGCAAACTTCTTCACATAGTTTGACAACCCCTACTAAAACAGAGATACATATGCAATCAACATGTTTATGGGGCGGACAAACCTCCCCCCTCGTATGTTACTAATGTTAGGCATGGCCGTGGAGATAGATACGGCAGCGGATCCACCGGTTCAGGCGGAGGCGGAACGCCCAGTTGATGATATCAAATGCCGATGCACTTGGAGGCGGCATCCTGGCTATCTCCTCCGCATTGCTCTCGAAGTAGATCCTCCGGCCCAAATTGCGTAGGTCCCAGTTGGAGTGCTGCTTGGCAGCTTCAATGGCCCCTTCCCGGCGTTCTTGGGAGATAGTTGGATCTCCCTCTATCTCTGCAATCACTCTCTTCCACTCCTTCGCACTCTGCGCCCATCACTTCTGATCATCGAAGATCCGTTCTGCCCTCTCGTGCCACCGCACTGCCCTCGTCTCCTGTAGGAACTCGTCTGAAAAAGCGGTCACCGGCTGCAAAAGCTCGGGGCACCGTCTGTACGGAAGTGGCAAGCCAGACAGGTCGTGTTGAAGATGAAGGGGCCATGGTTGCGCCACTGTTACAGACCTAAACATATGGATCAAATAAATAAAATACATATATCAAGATGTGTCAAATGCAAAATCATACCATATCATATTTACTCCAACCAAATTCACTACTTGCATCATATATTTTTTGTTTACTCCAATATGCATCATATCAACATGCTTACTAATGAACTAAGAACTAAGAACTAAGAACTACAACTACAATCATACCACTACTTACTAAAGAACTAAGAACTACAACTACAATCAAGCTAAAACAATCTTAGATACAAAAAAAATCCAATCTGAGTTCAAAAATATGAGGGATTTGAAGCAAATAATGCGTCGAATCGAAAGCAAGTTTGCAAAAACTAATTGGAAGGATCGGAGGAGCTTACGTTTCTCTTTTCGGGGCCATCTCGATCCGCAAAAACGGTGAAGAAACGCTGAAGATCCGAGGGGAAGAGTGGAGGAGATGAGAGAGGGAGAGAGAGGGGCGAGTTGGGGAAGAAAAGATGAAATTGTCGACGGGGGGAGGGGGAGGGGGAGGGGCGCGGGGCGGGGTCTCGGGCGAAATAACTGCCCGGATCCTACCGTCAGGGGTCCTGGCGGCAGGGTTAGACAGGCTACCGCCAGGTTCCCTGGCGGTAAGTTGTGACGGAGGGGGACGGCGGGCGTCTCCGCGTGCTGACGTGGATTACTACCCTACCGCTAGGGTCCCTGGCGGTAGCATGTCTAACCCTATCGCCAGGACCCCTGGCGGTAAGAAAAAGGGTCAGATCTCGAAAATTTTCGGAACCGGAATCAGATCCTGAATTTATATCAAAAGTGTCAAAACACGAAATTTAGCGAGGTCGCATCCACCGCCAAGTTGCCATGATCAACAAAGAAAATTCTTTCCACTCATTCAGGAGGGAGTTAGGCAATTAGTTGGACGTTTGCCTCAAGGTGCTACTCCTTTGTGTTTGTTTCAAGTGGAACAGCACGCCTCAAGGAAGGAAAACTGCACTCTGTTTCCCTCGTGAAGCCTGCGTTGTCGAACAAAATCCTTCCAGAGGCCAAAAAAATGGAGAAGAACAACGATGTTGCGTGCTAAGCAGCGGCCATGCTCGGGTTCTCCCGAGCTCGACGACCTGATCTGATCTCCCGGTAAAAGCAAAAATGGCATCGGCATGGCATTCTCGTGTGCCCTATCCGTCCGTCAACGCAGAGGTCCTCGCTCTTATCCAGCGGCCGAACCCGTGGGCCGCGACACGATCCGATCAAAAACCAAACCAAAACACCTCGAGCTGACTCATCATCACTCATCCAACTGAACTGATCCAGCCCCCATCCCTGCCCTCCATTCCTTTCCATCCGACGGCCAGCATGCCACAGCCCCTGCCCCTCCCTTCCAGCCATCTTCCCGGGCGCAATAACAACGATTAAATCCAGAGCAACATCATCATCATCACCGTCGTTAAAGTAAGCACATGTTGCATAACAATCACAGCTAAATAATTTCCGTGATACGACATTCGCAAATCGATAAAATAAGATCAACACCGCGACACAGGGTGGATTCCTTCCAGCTCTCAAAGTCCCAACCAACCGGCGGCCCACCAGCTTATTACATCATCGCGTAATAACAAAAATCTCACTCCACTCCGTCGCCCGTTTATAAACCCCCCGCCCCGCCCGCGTAATACCATTTCCGTCCGGTCCGCCAAATCTTCCTCCTCTCCAGGCCCCCAAGCCACCGCGCGCACCAGAATGGCCAAGCCGAGAGCGGTGGTGACCACCGCCTGCGCCTCCGCCGCGCCGTCCACGTCCTACGCGTCGGCGTTCCTGCCACCGCCCCCGTCGCCGTCCGACGGCGACCTGCTCCGCTCGCTGCACCGCCTGGCGCGCGACCTCTCGGCCGCCGACGCGCCCGCGCCCTTCTTGCGCGCCGCGTTCGCGTCCGTCTCCCGGCGCGCCAGGCTCCTCGCCGCCGCCTTCGACGACCTGCTGCTGTGCGCGGCGGGCGAAGGCGACCTGCCGCGCTCGGCCTCGCTGTGCCTGCGGGAGGTGCTCCTCGTGCTGCAGCGCTTCAAGGCCGTGGTGGCCGACTGCGCCACGCGGAGCCGCACGCTACTGCTGCTGCAGTCCGACGAGATGGACGCCGAGCTGCGCGACCTGCACCACGACCTCGCCACGCTGCTCGACCTCCTGCCCGTCGTCGAGCTGGGACTCGCCGACGACGTCATGGACCTCCTCGCCCTCGCCTCGCGCCAGTGCCGCCGCTGCGCGTCGGCCGCCGAGCCGGAGCCGGCGCTCAAGACCACCGTGCTGTCGCTGATCGAGGAAATCGAGCGTGAGATCGTGCCCGAGCGGGAGAGGCTGGAGGAGATCCTGGAGGAGGTTGGCATCAACGACCCGGCCAGCTGCAGCGACGAGATCGAGAGCCTCGAGCGGGAGATTGGCAACCGAGCGTCCGAGAGATGGACCGCCGCCATGATCGCCCTCGTGGGCCTGCTCCGGTACGCCAAGTGCGTCCTGTTCAGTGCCACGCCCCGGCCTTCAGATTCCAAGGCGGACGTCGATGTCGAAGACGACGGGGAGTCCCCGGCGCCCCCACCGGACCTCCGGTGCCCCATCTCCCTCGATCTAATGCGCGACCCAGTCGTCGCCGCTAGCGGTCAGACCTACGACCGCGAGTCGATCGACCGGTGGTTCAGCTCCGGCAAGTCAACGTGCCCCAAGACGGGGCAAGTCTTGGCCAATCTGGAGCTGGTGCCCAACAAGTCTCTCAAGAACCTCATCTCCAAGTGGTGCCGGGAGAACGGCGTGGCCATGGAAGTCTGCGAGGCCAGCAAGAGCGAGCAGGCCCAGGCGGTGGCCGCCAATAAGGCGGCGCTCGAGGTGGCGCGCATGACGGCGTCGTATCTGGTGAAGAAGCTCTCCGTCTCATTCTCCCCTGACGCGGCCAACCGCGTGGTGCACGAGATCCGGCTGCTCTCCAAGTCCGGCTCAGACAACCGCGCGTTCGTCGGAGAGGCCGGAGCCGTGCCGATGCTGGTGCCCCTGCTCTACTCCGAGGACGCCGGGCTCCAGCTCAACGCCGTGACCGCGCTGCTCAACCTATCCATCCTCGAGGCCAACAAGAAGCGCATCATGCACGCCGACGGTGCCGTCGAGGCAGTGACCCACATCATGAGCTCCGGCACGACGTGGCGCGCCAAGGAGAACGCCGCGGCGGCCGTGCTCAGCCTGGCGTCCGTCCATACGTATCGCCGCAGGCTCGGCCGGAACTCGTCCGTCGTCGAAAAGCTAATCCACCTCGTGCGCACCGGCCCGACGAGCACAAAGAAGGACGCGCTGGCCGCGCTGCTGTCGCTAGCAGGCGAGAGGGAGAACGTCGGGAAGCTGGTGGAAGCCGGCGTGGCCGAGGCGGCGCTGTCCGCCATCAGCGACGAGGAGACAGCCGCGGCGGTGCTGGCGGCATTGGCCAAACGAGGGGGCGCGGAGGCTATTGTCAACATCGACGGCGCCGTGGCGCGTCTCGTGGCCGAGATGAGGCGCGGCACGGAGTGGGCCCGGGAGTCCGCGACTGCGGCGCTGGTGCTGCTGTGCCGGCGGCTGGGCGCGCGGGCCGTGACGCAGGTGATGGGCGTGGCCGGCGTGGAGTGGGCGATCTGGGAGCTGATGGGCACCGGCACGGACCGCGCCAGGCGGAAGGCCGCGTCGCTGGGCAGGATATGCCGGCGGTGGGCGGCCGCCTCCGCCGCCGACGGGGAGCGGGGCGCCGAGTGCCCCGCGTCCAGCGTGGTGCCGCCGGCCATGATGGCCTCCTAGGATGAATTAATCATGCTCTTCTTGTACAAACCACAAGGTTCGATTAGGCAGGCTGTGTCACGATTCTTTGATGCGAGAGATAACAAAATGGTGAGTGATGTTGATCAACAACTGTGTATACGGCCGTTTGTATACCAAAATTTTACCCTTTTCTTCTTGACACGAAATACACATACACAAAAGTTGTGAAAGCGGTTGGCTCGTGTTGTGTTGTGTTGTGGTGTGTGCCCGATTTGCTGGCGAGGATAACCGGTCCGCCTTATCTTTCTGACGTCTGAGCTACCGGTATTCGATTTTCGGGGGAAAGCAACGCATTTGTTCGGAAGGCCCGGTCTCCGTCCTCTCCGTGATCCAAGTTTTTTTTTAAGAGAACGTCGGCCTTTATCAATTAAGCAACCAAATTACACAAAGTCTCCCGGATACAATCCGGAGTAGAAAGAAAAACACAAAGACTCACAGAGTTCAAACTAGACTTAGCTAACACATGAGCTACAACATTACAGTGTTGACGAACATGCTTGAAAGAAAAGCACATTCCGTCTTGATCTCAGCAACAATGGAACCCACCAAAGATCTGTCACAGACTGAAGAATTAAGGCGTTGAACCAAAGAGAGGCAGTCAGAGTGAAACACCACGTTAGGAAAGTGCTTCTCCCGGGCCAGCCTAGCAGCGCATCAAAAAGCAAGAGCTTCAGCAACCTCCGGGGATGAGACTCCAGGCAAAGGTTCAGAAGAGGCAGCCACAAACCGGCCAGAGTGATCCAATATCACCACGCCCGCCGCAGAAAAGCGCCGAGGAAGATCCAGCGCAACATCAGAGGACACTTGCACAAAACCCTGCGGCGGTGGAGCCCAAGAAAAGCTAGAAGCTGTGGGCTCCCGCCTTGTAGCAGGGAGAGGCTTGTACAGGTGCGGGAGCACCATATCAACATAGGCTTTTGTTCGTGCAGCAGTTCGTCGAGGAGGAGGAGTCTCAGGCTCATTCCGCGCTGTATTCTGGGCTTCCCAGATGTGCCACAAGGTTACCGTCAGGACAGTAATGTCCCGATCAGAGCAACGAGAGAGGAAGAGGAACAACCACTGTCTAGGAGATTGAAAAGAAGATCGGAACAGTTTGATCCCAAAGCCCTCCTTGATCTCATCCCAGACCGCCCGAGCGTGGGGACAGAATAGCATCGCATGTCCCACGTTCTCCGACCTGCCACAGAAGAAGCAATCCGTTCTCGTCGGAACCTGACGCCGGATGCTCACCCGAGGGCAAACAGTCATGTGCAAACCTCCACAGAACGGTCTTCATCTTATTTGGGGCCTTAACATTCCATAGCTTTTTCCAAAGCTTCTCCTCCGAAGGCCAGGCAGATTGCTGGCCTCTGCCGTCGCTACTTTGCCTGATCAGGAAACGTGACGTCCGGGCCAGGTTGTAGCCCGATCGGACCGTGTACTCGCCAAACCGTGTGAAAGGCCAGCGAGTAAAGTCTGCAACACCATCCCTGATAGGGATCTGAAGTATCTCCTTGGCCACCGAATCACTGAAGAAAGCTCTCACCGAGTCCACATCCCAACAGGCATTCTCCGCATCAATCAGACAATGAACAGTCGCCGCCGCTGGGATCGGAGAGATGGGATGGAGGAGAGCCGGAGGCGTGGAGGGAATCCAGTGATCAGAGATGATGCGCGTGTTTCTCCCGTCACCAATACCCCACTGGACCCCCAACTTCAGTAGTTCCCGACCATGCAAAATCGCCCTCCAGGTCGCCGAAGCAGAATGAGGCGCCTCCGCGTTCCAAAAGTTGCCGAACTGGAAGTATCTTCCTTTCAGGACCCGGGCACACAGGGACTCCGGATCAGTCAACAACCGCCAGCCCTGTTTCGCCAACATCGCCTGGTAGAAGAGACCCATATCACGAAAGCCCATACCCCCAAAGATTTTAGCGTCGAGAGCCAGTCCCAAGAACGCCAATGAAGCTTTTTCTTGCCATCTTCCTGTCCCCACCATTGATCCGCCACAATCTGACGGAACCGCTCACATATCGCCACTGGAAGCCGGAAGCAACTTGATATGAATGTGGGGATGGCTTGAGTTTTGGACTTGAGCAAGGTTTCTGTCCCAGCCCTAGACGTAGGCCGGTCCGACCACCCGTGGATATTCTGCCAAGCACGGTCAGTGAGGAATTTGAAGGTAGCCGTGGGCATACCAAGATAAGAGTCTTTAAACGCCTCATTGTAGATACCCAACTGGTTCTTCACTCTCGTCTTAACCGAATCAGGACAGTGGTTGCCAAAGAACAGCGCGGACTTATCCTTATTGATTGCTTGGCCCGAACCGGCACAGTAGGAGTTGAGGGTAGCCTCCAAAGCACACACACTCTGAGTGTCACCCTTGGCAAAGAAGATGCTATCGTCTGCAAAAAGGAGATGTGAGATAGATGGGCCATGACGCCCGTTTCGAATCCCATGTAGCTCGCCACGATTCTCCTTATCAAGCAACAGACCTGACAAACCTTCAGTGCACAAGAGGAACAGGTATGGGCTGATCGGATCCCCCTGACGGATGCCACAAGAGGGTACCACCGGGATTGTGAGCTCTCCATTAACTCTGACTGGCATATCTGACATTTGTGACACATCTCATAACCGCAGCAATCCAAGATGGGGCAAAACCAAGTCTGCTTAGGCAACCATGGAGGTAGCTCCACTCCACCCTGTCGTAGGCCTTCATCATGTCAATCTTCAGAGCAAAGAAAGGATGCTTCACCCGTTGCCTCCGGATCGTATGCAGACACTCATAGGCGATCAGAGTGTTGTCAGTAATTAGCCCGCCAGGAACAAAAGCACTCTGACTCTCCGACACTACCACATGAAGGATGGATTTGAGGCGGTTTGCCAAGACTTTGGAAGCAATCTTATATAGCACGTTACAAAGACTGATCGGGCGGAAGTTCTTCAGCTGCTTTGGACGATTTGTCTTTGAAATAAGCACAATAACTGAGTCACAGAACCCTTCCGGAATAGGCCGACCCTCCAGAAAGCCCCGAACGGCATTATAGATATCAGTTCCCAAGAAATCCCAATGGGTCTGGTAGAACAAGGCCGGGAAACCACCCGGTCCGGGGGCCTTAGTAGGCCCCATATGGAAGAGAGCTGCCCGCACCTCCTCCATGGAATAGGGTTTGCACAGCTGCTCATTCATGTCCGGAGTAACCTTGGGTGGGATAGCATTCAAGACAGCCTCGACGTCCAGGCAGGGAACGGTAAATAAACTGTCATAGTAAGCCTGCACTATATTTTTGATCTCACCCTGAGAGGAACACACAGACCCATCATCACGGGAAAGTGGGTAGATCCGGTTGGTTCTTCTTCTGGCAGTCGCCCGGGCTTGGAAAAACCCGGTGTTCCGGTCCCCCTCCTTGAGCCAATCCACCCTGGAGCGTTGTCTCTCCATGACCTCCTCCCGTTACTCCGTTGGGAGTATTTAAACAGAAACAAGCAAGTGGGACGCATTGGCACTTCATGGTTTTTGTTTTGTTATCATTGGGTGGTTGATCGGTCCGTCCAATCCAACGCCCCCTGGCTAGACTGGCAGAGAGAGTGATTGCGAGCGATGATTGGGACCAGCGGCCAGCCTTTCGCTCTGCCCTCATCTGCTGTCCGTCCAGGTTGTGTACGTCCTCCCCTCCACTCCACGTGATTCGCGGCGGGAAAGGGAGGAAGAGGCGGAGGTTCTACTTCACGTCTGCACCGCACGGCACGGCAGGCCAAGGTAGGCAGGTGGCGGATGGTGTTCGATCGGTGCAACGAGTAGACGCCAAGATCTCCGCTCAACCGATGCGCAGGCCCAGACATGCGGCGCCGGCTCTTGGCCCGGACCGGACCGCGTCGCGCCGCCGGCGGCCGATCGAACAGCTCGCGTTCGTTGAAGTGGATGGCCGTCTTGTCGGATCACTTGTGGGCGCGCGCTCGTGTTTCCTCGTCGAGAAAGTAAAGGATCCGAGCTGTTTCTGGGTGCCGAATTTGACCTGTGCACGACTCCGTTCCGACCAAAGTGGGACTATCTGGGCACAGACTGGAAGATGGTTTCACATCGTTGGGAATTTGAAGTGAAGGAGGAAGCACGCGCCTTGCTTGCTTCCCCGTGAAATGCTGTCAGGGCTGTGTGATGCTACTACGTTCGAGCCATGCTTGCTTTCCTATAATCGGCCAGGCCGACGCGTGGCTCCCTTCCGGTTCTGCCCGTGCCTGGGATCTCGGATCTCCTCCAGAGTCCAGACTGCTGCCGTGAGGCCAACTTCACCGCGCGACCTCAAACGGACATCCGTTTTGCCTGGATTCTGTCCGTTTGGGTGGGGCGATGGGTCGTGTCCGGAACTGTCCTGGGATGCGGTGGTCGTGCGCTCAGCGCGCGGTCGCATCCTTTTACCCCATTCCATCCGCGAGAGCCTAGAATGCCCATATTTTCATATCAAAACAAGTTTGCAAGTCCAAATATTAATTGTTTGAAAATTAATATAGTTTTACAACCCAATCAAAATTGTCTCTAATAAAAATAGTTTTACAACCAAATTGAAATTGTCCTGAATGAACATAAAATGAACCAATACATCTATTGGTTGCCAATATGATCCCACACGTGCTCAACCAAGTCATTTTGAAGATCCAAATGAGTGTGCCAATCACGCAGCTCACGATGAAACCGGACAAACTGATCAAACGTGGCCGGTTCTTGGTGCAGGGGCTCAACATTGTCACCTTGAAAATCAAATCCTTGGTCGAAGATACTATCATCACGCTCGTCCTCGATGATCATGTTGTGCATGATCACACAAGCAGTCATCACCTCCCAAAGCTTACTTTCATTCCATGACAGTGCAGGGTATCGAACTATACCCCATCGGGATTGAAGCACACCAAAAGCACGTTCCACATCCTTTCTAGCACTCTCTTGCGTTTGGGCAAATCTCTTTCTCTTCTCACCTTGGGGCTTCGAGACTGTCTTCATAAAA